TCTGACACCTCCTTCGGTGAGATATAGTTACATAGTTACATAGTTAGTCAGGTTGAAAAAAGACGCATGTCCATCGAGTTCAACCTATATGAGAGATGAGATGTTTATATGGTTTGCAGCGCTGCGCCACACTCTTTTCTAGTTTTAGTTTTGCCGGTTTTGGTACTTTTATATTTTGCAATATTAGTTTGTATTTTTGAATATCTTTCCATTCATCTTATGAGTCAGATTATGAAAGAAAATGATCCCAATGCTGAGTGATTTCCCCAAAACAATTCTGATCCGTCAGCCACTGAAGTGTTTCTTTCTGCTGCCATAATGTTGGTGTTAACCCGCAGCAGATCTCCGTCAGCTGGGTATATAATGACAATAAAACTGTCCAGTATTGTGAACTTCCAGCCCATGCCAACCATTCATTGCTTTGACAGGCTGCATTGTGAAAATACACAAATGTTTTCCGCACACAAAAGCCCGATTGTGCACTGATGGTTTTTTACTGTCCAAAAGTCTCTTCTCATTCAACAAGCCTCATAAAGTGCTCAGCCCAGAAATATGTTTCTGCAGCCGTCCACCAGTCCACATCCTCCTCCTGACCTCTCCCAGCATGCTCTGCGGGGGAATAGAGTGTTAGCTCTGAGGCAGAAATGGTCAGATTCTGTGAGTGAATACTTAATAAATAATAGGGCATTTACTGCCTGAATTACATTGTATAAGGTCATCGTGTTAATGGATCATATACATGAAACATACAGTTGTGGTGAGGAAAGGAGGGGGGAGGCGGGGGAGGGTCTGTCAGCGACATTTTATTTTTTTATATCTAGCCTGTAAATCTGTAATATTTTCATTTGTACATAACATTGTCTCCCTACTGCATAAACCATTTATACAGATCTCTGGTGTCCTGACGTAACAGCATTTGTTTCATTATAATTTGCTCTACATTTTGCGAAAAAAAATAATTATTCGGTTTATAAAAGTTCTAGATCTTGAAAAGTAAAAATATGAAACGATTAGATTTGCACAATTTAAAAAAACGATTCTATAAACTCGCAGCCTGAATCCATCGATAAATAATGTGTGGGAGGCGTAATTGTTTTCAATCATTGACAAAGTTGTCGCCCATAAAATTGATATTTTTGGCTTGTTTTGTCAATCGATGAAAATGGTGCAAATGAGAAAAGAAATTCCCAAGAAGTTTTATAAATATCAAACGTAAGAAAAATCGAATAAAAAACCCCAATATTGTCATTAATAACTAGGCCGATAAGATCATTATTTTATTATTCCTCCTGTGCTGTGCTCTCAGTCCTCCCACTCCGTGGATCATTCATTTACTTTCTGGATTTTAAATCTCTTGCAGAACTTTCACTAAACTACCAGAACACCATCAACAGAACCCCCACCAGTCCAATACTGGAACCCACAGGGATATCACAAGGAAACGTTAGGTTCAGGTACTGACAACGCGCATTATAAACCGATTTACACTTTGAGATTTGCACACATTGAATATATACAGTCAGAAAGCACCTGTTACATTGCGATTATACGCCGTATAACATTCCGTATTACAAACATAACATGTTACGTGACATAAAAGCATTGCAGTCACCGGTAATAGGAGACTCAACTCTATATACGTCCACTCATCTATAATATACATTACAATCGTTTGTCCAGAAGACGTTCTAATATAACAACATTGTAATATCATTTTTAAAGCCTTTAAGTATTTCCTGTATAAAAAAAACATACACATACTACGTATAAATATACATCAGAGGGGAAAGTCAGGCAAGTTCAAGGTTAAAGTTCTGCTTCCTAAAATGAATTGCAACTAAAATTTTATAGAAAATCATAAACTACAAGTCATTTTTAGTTATTTCAAAGCGTAATGTCAGCTGCAGACACACTCAGAAATCGGCAAACCCAGACTGAGAGGAACTGGCAAGCGCCGGATGTAATAAAATGATAGATTCTGTGAATAATGTGGCCTATATCATCCGGTCACGTTGATCTCCCCCCCTCCCATCAAGTTCCTGGGGTCAGTAGTCATACTTTTCTCTGCAACAGTTGTCAGGATCACTTTCACCGCTCTGTGTGCGTCTTATGGAGTATATACCAGTGGTAGATATTTGTACAGTACGCTACTTTATTATTATAAATGATGTTCAATAAGTAACACAAATTCAAACAGCACCTCACAGGGCCAGGGAGCAATAACCTGATTTATACCTCTCCAGATGATATGCACTATATAATAATACAAGTATATATAGAAATACCACCTCTGTAGGGAGCAGTGAGGTGGAAAAAGAAGTTATACTCCAACCAAAATTAGATAATTAATCAGCCAAATGGCTTACTTTATAAATTAGTAAAATATAATGTATACATTTAAGAGAGTATGAACACAGCAGACACCATGACAAGGACCTTATATTAAAATTGGCAACGATGTCATGTAATACAAGTAGAAAGCTGACTGCAGTGCAAAGCAGAGACTGACAACGTTTTATACTGCCGAGCGAGCGCCGGGACCCCTCCAAATAAAACGACACCAAGAACTCGGACTGATGCCATCCCCGGGACCCCTCCAAATAAAACGACACCAAGAACCCAGACTGATGCCATCCCCGGGACCCCTCCAAATAAAACGACACCAAGAACCCAGACTGATGCCATCCAAGCAGATATAATAATAATAATAATAATAATAATGTTTCTTGTTCCGTCTTCTGTTATCACTCTGATAAAACGTATAATGATATAAAGTATCTGTTCTAGTTACGTTTTTTACAATGTTTCTCTCTCAGCTGGTTGTAAAAGTGACTTGTAAAGTGCTATTGCTGTATTATTTCTTTATAACCCCCACTGGGAGGGGGAGGGGGTATAAAGAAATAGACATCCACATTAGGCGTCCATTTCCAAGCATTAGACAACCAGCATGAAGAATAGTGGATTGCTATACTGTAGTTCATTTTCACTTTTTGCACTGTTATTAAACTCAATCATTCCCCCCCCCCCCTCCCCCCCTTCTCCCCCCAGCAGGTCACAGTGATGCTGTTTGGCCAGTGTTGGTGTTCTGCGGGGCTCTGTGAATGTTCAAAGTGAAGATGTCCTGAACTCAATCTGCTGCACCTCAGAACTCCTCAGTCCCCATCCAATCAATCAGAGGTAACTACCAATTCTTCTAATCTATGTTTTCCAGATCAATCACATAGAAAACATTGGCTCTGCTTACTCTGAGTCTGTATGGTGGGAAAGTTGTGTGTGTGCGGCTGAGGAGTGCGCATGCGGAATATTACTCTGATCAGCTGATATTTTGTTTCCTGATTCCATCTATTATTTATATATAAATACTATAATAAACTGTGATGACACTTCTGTCCGGATCATACTTAACAAACTTCACTACAGTTATGTTTTAATGAGGAATATCAAATCATATAATAAACATGTGACCATCCATGTTCCGGGGCCCACTAATAATGGCTTTGCTGCCCCCCGTGGCACCGCGCCTTACGGTATTACACAATACAGTGTGTGCAGATCACATCATGTGTACATCTGTCACAGTGATGACATTATTTACGGCACGATGTGTAACATGACACATAAAACATATCAGTACCATACTGTGCGTGGAATGAGTCTGCCTGTCTCTGTACACAGGGATGTTGTCATACACAGACACCCTGTTGTCACCTTTTATCCCCCCCCCCCCCCCTTTAATTCTTCCTTTCTGATATAC